CTCCAGAATGCACTCGTGCTCCGTGTTCTGTGCCGTGCGTTCTCTCTGCGCGTGTTTGACGCGTCGCGTGTTGCGCGGGATGCGCGTTCTCTCTCTGTCGCTCTGCGTGTTGTTGCGTGAACTTGCGCGGTGTGGGGTTTGTGGTGCGTAGTTTGCGGTGCAGTATGTTCCCGTACATGCGTGCGCACATGCTGCTTGTCAAGGAAATGGCAAAGAAAAACAGCTCTCCGTTGCAGCTGTACGAGAAGATGAAGTCGGATGGATCAGAAAGGGCGTAGCCTGGCGGGGGCGAAGCTTTGACACCTGCCCACGGAGCAATTGGCTGCCTCAAAGTGCCAGATTGCAGCTGCTCGAGTCCCGGCAACAAAGCTGATGCCGACAGGCAAGCGTGCGAGGGGTGCATTGATCCAGGGTATAGTTGCCATAGATCTGTCGCGAGCCGTTGCAGCCCTGCGGCCAAATGCCCAGCACCGCTTCTTGCCTGGCAAATCTAACCGCGGAACGCAGGTGAGTTCCCCCATGTCTCTCAAACTGTAGAGTTCTTGTACATGTTGACCAAATCTCAGTACCTGATGGCAAGCCGAACCACCGAACCCCCGAAGAAAGCGCCGGAAAACGGGGGAAACAAACAAACAAGTCCGGCGGTTCAAGCACCGGCCTCTCCAAGTCACAGAATGCGTCCGTGTACTGCATCGAAACATTCCTCCAAACCTCTGCTGGGTTGGTGCTGTGCATTAAGACCTCGGGCAAGGAAGCGGTTTGCGACCACCATGGCACAGGGGGCAAAAAGGACCCCTTTCGTTTCTGCTCGCGCCGGGGTGTTAGAGGGAACCTTCTCCAAAACAAAGAAACACACACACTCGAGGTTTGGGACCTGTCAAGAGCTCGCTCTGGCAAGGCAAGCTGGCCAAGCTTTGGGAAAGGTGACTTGGCAAGCTTTTAGCATACAACAAGAGGGGGAAGAGAATATATGACCTTGGTAGATGGATCTGCTTGCCTTCAGCTTCAAAACAAGGCAAGAGCAAGGCAAAAAGCTCGAGGCTCGATGCCAGGCGGCAGCTTGCCAATCATTCCTCGGACGGGGCCGGGGCATGGAAAAAGGCCTCCGTCCTTCGGCCCTTTGTGCCGACAAACCATGGGGGTACCAAGCAAGGGCTCCAAAGAACATGGAGCCACACATCCCTGGCTCGGCCCAACCGCCAACCGCCATCTCCCGGTGACTCTGGTAGAAAAAGAGGACCTTTCGTCGGGTTGACGATTTTTTGAGTGGAGAACCCACCAAAGAAACGCGTCAAACATGGGATGCCGTGAACAAGAATGGCACCTGCATCTCCTTTCGCCCTTCCCATTCTTTCCCGGCCGAGGGCTCAGGAAAAAGGAGCCGTTGAGGCCGAAATCCACCGACATGCCGGCGGCGTCCGGCTCCATCTGGGTGGGATCCTGGGCCGGGCCGGGCCGGGCCGTAAGCCCAGGAAACCGAGCCCTTGGGGTCCTCGATTCCATGGCCACCCCGCCCCGAGAAACTAAAGGGGTCCTGTTGAAGGGCCGTGGCATGAAGCCGGAATCGACTCCTCGAATAGAATAATCTATGTCCTCAGACTAATGAAAAAGGGGCTAAAAGGCTATATCAGCTCGAAGTGGACACTGTGCATGATGGACCAAGGATCTTGGTATGGGTCTTCCAAAGCTCTACAACTGTCATCAACTTCAAAGGAATTGGTTGGCTCGCCATGTCACTTTCACGATGGACGAACAATGGCCAATTCAGCCCAAGCAATGCCAACAGAGATCTCACATTCACAACAACAACAAAGCACACTTAATCTGAAAGGCTTGGCAGCACGTCGCCACAACGAAATGATGCATTCAAACTGTTCAGGGCAATCAATTGTGGGGCACTAAGCCGTGATCGATGTGCAATGGCAAGCTAAGCAGGCAGCAAAGGAAGTAGTTCACAGCATGCGTCACCAGCTCCAAAGAAACCAAGCCTAGTGCATGCACTTCTGCGCAAGGCGCCACCAGCACAGGGAAGCCAGATGCCACTTCCGAAACCTGGCAAGTGCCGTGCTGCTACTTGACACCTCTGCTTCCAGAAGGCTAGTTCATCTGGAAAACAACACCGATTTATGCAAGAATTTCCAGGAATATGCATATAGGCATCTGGTTAATCATCCTCCACCTGTGTTTCACAAGATCCCAAGCGACTCAACATCTCCCCTGGTCTTCCCAGAGTAAACCCAAGGACAGAGTAGACTAGGATCTTGTGGGGCAACACGCCTGGTGGTTTTTCACAGGGCTCGGGGTCGTACTGTGGATGGTCAAACTCGTGCGCTCGTTGGGATGGATGAAGCCAACCCTATCAAAACTGGGATGAACCACCTAAAAACTGGTTCGGGATCTAGAGTCTAGTCACGTCCATCCGCAGCATGAATGCCAAGCTTTCCGAACAGCCAGCCAAGCCAAATTCACGTCGCTGGACGGCAATTTGGGGGCGTGGACAAAGCCATGCCAAATGTCAAACAGAGGGGTCCGAAAGAAAATGGCAACTACACCGCCCCTTCCTTTGGGAAACTAAAAAATGGTGAGCCCTATTGCACCCAACAGCAAACAACGAATGTCAGCTGCCTCATTGCCTGCCAATATGTGGGCCATGAGCCATGAGCCATTGCCTGCATATAGAATCCTGTCCTTCCAAAGTATTTTGTGATGATGGCTATGTGTTGGTTTGTTGTCAACCCATTTTATCGTGGGTGTGTCTGAAGCTAACCCCACAATGTCCAGCTTCCCTTTGGTTCTTTGTTTAGAGCACCCCGCAAAAAGTCTGCTTCCTCAGCCTCTGAAAAAACAAAAAAAAGCAGCAACTGAACAACGCGCCACCCATCGGCCTCAATCTGCTGCTGGAGGAGATCCAGCAAATCTTCAGCTGGCAAGTCGGCCAAAGATGGGCAGCACTCTCTCAGGTGCTGGCCTCAACGCCGTCGATCGAAAGGCGAAAGGCGCAAAACCCAGGCTGGCAACCCGTCATGCCAAACATGAGTTGGACCCAACCTGAAGATTCATTCTCCGGGTTTTTCCTAGGCGTTCTAGTTTTCTGGTAGCCTTGGGCATGTTGGGCGTTCTAAATGGTTTCTAGGAGTTTAAGGCGAGAACTCCGAGAAAAAACAAAAAAACTGATTTGCGGGCGTTTGCGGGTTTTTGCGGTCGGTTGCGGGCTTGTTGCGGGCGTTTTGCGGGTATTTCCGGGTGGGGAAACGCAAAAAGTGACCGATTCTGAAATCTTACGAACGTAAGGTATAGGAGTTCTAGTAGTTTTAGGCCATTTCACGGAAAAAGAAAGAGAAACACATGAAGATTTAGAAAAAGCAAGTGCAAAACGAGAACTACCAGGAAATTCATGGCGAATGAATCTCCAGGATGCGTTTCACTGGAAATATCAGACACACACACACACACCCACCCACGCACGCACGCACGCACGCGCAGTTAGTCAAGTTCAAGAAAGCAAAACCACCAAGGTGATATGTTGTTGCCGCATTCCGGGTGTAATGTGCCTACCTATGTCGTGCAAATCCATGCCCATTTCGCCATGGACACCGAGTTTCGGGCCTATAGCTCAAGCCCCGTAAAGAGGCTGACAGGCGCTGAGTCCTCGCCAAGAACTGGGGACGCTGCGAAGATGGTTGGAGTCCAGATTGGCCAGCAGCTTGGGCACCGCTGCCTGGGTCAAGCCAGGCAGCGGCATGTGAGGTGAGTCTACGAACTCACTTGAGCGGATGGGCGAAAAAAGGCCCAACTGGTCTCTATTTGACATCTATTTGCCACTGCAAAATGGTGGAAACCCAAATGTGCAATGAGTCTTCTGCCAAGAAGCAACTGAACCATCGAAGCCTGAATACTTATAGTGGCGGGCAAGCATCACACATCAATCATGTGATGGGGAAAATTTCGGGGGAAAATTGTGCAATCTACGCCACCTGGATGAAGCGCACTTGCAGCCGATCCGCGTCTGAAAGCTCCTTTGCCGTTGCTTCCACCTTGGCCATGAGGTCTATCTGCCATTGAGTCCTGAGAGCAGGCACCGTCACTGCACTCACATGGTCAAGTCAACCCTCTAAGACTGCATGCACCAGCCCCAGCCGTTGACCCCATGGGACCACCCCTGGGTTTAAGTCTATCTTGCGGTAGTGAAAAAGTGGAACCCCGATTAGGTAGAGGTCAGCTCTCTATCCTCAGAGTCGTTTGCTTGGTGGCGCAACCCTTTCAACCATCATGCTGACAAGCGTCAGGCCAGGGCTGGCGAGCACTCTCGCACCAAGCACCAGCCTTGGGTACTTTCAGACATGCCCTGGATGAGGACCGTGCCGGAAGGGAACTGACTTCAAAAACGTGGCTCCTTGATCCATTGCCAAAACTTAATCTTTGAGTGGGAGTTCCAAAGTCTAAACGTCCGAATTGTGGCTGAGTGTAGGGCTGTATGATATGTTCAGACTCTGTTTCATATTTGGTAAAGCCTTGATAACACTAAATTTGGAGGATATCCCAGAAACACATTTATCGATTGATGCGGACGGGTGTGCTTTTCTTCGCGAGGAAAATCTGGTCGCCAAGTATGTCCAGTGGATCCAGCTGAGTGCGCGGCCAAACTAGTGCGCCAAGGCGTGCCATCGATGGGTGCGGGCGGGCGATCTATAGGATTGAGAGTCACGGTGGCCCCTTCCCTCTCCAAATGTGGGGTTCATCCATAGGGGACGATGCAAATTGACGACTGAACAGCCCGGGAAAGTGTTGAAAGGTCTGCATGCGTCAAATCTTGCTATGCATGGATGTCATGCGCTCCAAGCCGAATGTTGGCGCAGGGGAGTGCGTGCTTTCACTGCCCCGCCAAGCATCTAAAGTGCTCAGGGCCATCCGAAACACCTACAATACTGACGTATTTTGCAAGTTCAGAATGTGTTCTGTTCACTTCAGCCAGCCCTGCCCCGAGCTTCCGCATGCCCTGC